TACATAAAGCAATGAAAATCAAATAAAAAATGACAGTAAAGGGAGAAAAGATAATGGAAATCGATTCTTGCTGTGACGGGATGCTAAATTTAGTGAAGAAAAATTCTAGATGTCTTCCATGTTCAAGTTGACCCTTTATTATGTTTATGTCTTGTGCTTGCCTTGTGATTTCTAAGCCATCTTTGTGAACATGTTTGGAGATCAGATAACACGTTTCTCGGACGTTTATGTTTAAAACTTTTACTTCAGTTGTTGAACTACGGCATTATAACTTGTTCACCAAGTTTTCTAGTCAAAGAGCAATGGATCGAAGGACGAATGGCTGTAATTAGTCAGATTTAGTTCTGCCCTGACGACACACGCAAATTCTCCCTACTGGTGTATATGTATTTCTCATAGTACAAACTGGGAGAATTTGTCTCAGTAACAAAATAATTGCGTCAATGGCAATTCCTTATTCCAGCCAACCTGCTCGCCTAACTTTGCATTGTTGTTGTAAGGAGAGATTAGATCTGATCAATGTAAGGCACTCAACAAAACGAAAATAGGTAAATTAATTGTCGGTAAGTGCAAAGCAGAAAGTTTGCAATTTTTATGAAGCAAGGGCCGGAAATCGACATTCTTGAAATGGTGTTGTGTTTTGGGGGCGTATCAATAAAGCCACATAAAGCAATGAAAATCCAATTAAAAATATAGAAAGGGGAGAAAATATAAGGGAAATCGNGTTGACCCTTTATTATGTTTATGTCTTGTGCTTGCCTTGTGATTTCTAAGCCATCTTTGTGAACATGTTTGGAGATCAGATAACACGTTTCTCGGACGTTTATGTTTAAAACTTTTACTTCAGTTGTTGAACTACGGCATTATAACTTGTTCACCAAGTTTTTTAGTCAAAGAGCAATGGTCGAAGGACGAATGGTTGTAATTAGTCAGATTTGGTTCTGCCCTGACGCGACACGCAAATTCTCCTTACTGGTGTATATGCATTTCTTATAGTACGAACTGGGAGAATTTGTCTCAGTAACAAAATAATTGCGTCAATGGCAATTCCTTATTTCAGCCGACCTGCTCGCCTACTTGTGCATTGCTGTTGTAAGGAGAGATTAGATCTGATCACTGTAAGGCACTCAACAAAACGAAAATAGGTAAATTAATTGTCGGTAAGTGCAAAACAGAAAGTTTGCAATTTTTATGAAGCAAGGGCCGAAAATCGACATTCTTGAAATGGTGTTGTGTTTTTGAGGCGTATTAATAAAGCCACATAGAGCAATGAAAATTCAATTAAAAATATAGAAAGGGGAGAAAATATAAGGGAAATCGATTCTTGTTGTGACGGAATGTTAAATTTAATCAAGGGAAATTCTAGAAGTCTTCTTCATTCTAGTTCAAATTGAACCCTTTTTTTTATTATGTTTATGTCTTGTTGTCATCTCGTGATTTCTAAGCCATCATTATCAATATGTGTGGAGATCAGATAACCCGCGGCTCGCACATTTTTACTTTCATTTTCTATTACTGAACTTATAATATGTAAGAGAGCGTGTGTTTTAGAA